GCCAAGTACGTGTGTGCATTTTGAGACATGCACATGAGGCAAGCTGTGAAATCATTGGAGTTTGAGGCTATCATTCTTTGTAAATACTGTCTTAAATTTGAACATGAATTTGATTTGATACTGCATTTCAAAGTTGTTTTAATTTTGAGTTGAGGTGTGTTAAAATTTTGTTTGTCAACGGAAAAATGCCCACAAAGCATTAAAATCATACCATTTACAATATTCAAATAGACTGTAAACATTTAACTGTGCTTTGAATTTTATCTCCATTGCTTTTATTTTCACGTTAAGCTCAATTTGAAACATTAATTCTAAATAATCCAGTAACTGAAATCAGGAATTTGTTTCATGCTGAAAATGAATGATACTTTCGAGTATTTATGCAGGTTTTCATTTTTTATGCCGTTTGCATTTACTCTTTGTTTCCTGATCAGCCGGGATCTGTTTTACATAACCTCCCTGATCAATTCTAACACAGCTGACAGCATAACCACATTTGCATTGTGCAGGTCTTTATCATCGGGTGTTAATTCTGAAATGTTAAATCTGTTGACTTAAACATGTTTGCTCTGTAGATAAGTTCCTCAAATTTGAAGTCAGTCCAGCTAATTGTTAACTCCAGCCGGAAAATCTAGCCTGTGGCAAGATTTCCCAATCTGGCAGAGAATAAAAATATCCACATGCTTAAACTGGAAGCTTTTGTTGTGAGGGAAAACAACGCAGGCAAAATTTCATTAGCGGAGGTTTGTTGTGCCGCTAGACAAGAGGGGGGGGGAAATCTGACCCCTCCAGGTATGTGGCTTGTTTGGTTTGAATCTTAATAAAGCAGCGTTTATTTCAGTTTGATTTGCAAGAAACCTTGAGCTTTATTCGTGCTGTCAGTCTTCCGATCAATCTTCAAGGTAAATTGAGCGATGGGGTTGGGAAAAGAAAGACAAGGAAAGGAAAAAAAAAGAAAAAAAAAAAAAAGAAAGGACAGCCACAGCTGTTGTTCTATATCATTTAAGAGTAGAGATCTCACAAATCCATTACTTGTAACCATATCCCGGCTTGAGAATCCCGGCCTTTAATGATCGCTATAATGGGATGATATCCCACGCTGGAGGCTACTGTATCCTGGGCAGACCACGGAGTGGCAGCCCGCATTACGCTCTCCTATCCTTGGCAGGGTCCTGGGCAGTGCCTGATTTATGGAGTAACTCCAAAATCATAATTGCAGTGCCAGGATTATGATTACAACAGACCTGTCCAGCCACAGTGTTGTAGCACGTAGTAATTTGATTTGAGGTATATTACAACAACATCCCCAGGGTGGGGGGGGAGGGTTGTAATTGTCTCGCGTTGTGTTGTTAACTATTAGGTTTTGATATGGTGGGGCTTTCTAGAAGAGCCATGGAGGAAATTCCCCCCCCACTCCGTCCTCCTACTGTGTTTTTGATACCCACATGTTTGAATTCAATCAGGTTGTTGATGAACGTGTGACCAAGTAATTAATTGGGGTGACCACTTGGAAAGAAATGTGAGAGCTGAACATTCATTTGGATGGTTTTTTTAGCGGATCATAGCGGGGTTTGAACTGATCTGTTTTTATATTTGTGTTGTTTTATATCGCATTTACTTCTGTGTCCTTATAAAATTGAAAATGACAGATTCAGATGGTCGTAATGTTCAGTATCAGATGCTAAGAAAAGCAAATGCCTAGATCCTTTTCAGCCGAGCAAAAGAAGACACCTTTATGCATTAAAAACACTGTTTGAAATGAAAGCAACCATTTGTGAAATTGCTACACTGAATTGAAGTGGCCATTTCAAAATACGAAGAAAAGAAACAGAAAAATGAGAAAACTTTTATCTTGATCTGGTTTTTTTTTTTAATTTGTTTGCGTTTTCCTTCTGAAAAAGCAACTTGTAGTTGATGCAATAAATCACAACGGGTTTTTTTGTGATTTTTAAATTTGTGTCGAAATCAAACTCTGTCATCTGCAGACTCTGCCAACAGAACACCAGAAACAATAATTTTCATTTTGACCAATGATAGCCCCATAGCTTCTAAATTGCTTAATATGAAAGCATGCCATTTTTTAAGGCTTTTTGGCAAGATTACTGGGTATGTATGGAAGTATGGACAAAATGATTGTCCGGGAGGGAGGACAGCAGAACAGATATTGCGCATTTGTATTTACCAGCCGCAGACATCTTGTGTAATCACATGTGCATGATGCTCACTCTTGCATGTAATTAGCTGAAATAAAATCTACGACTGCGAATGGTCGTTCCACCTGTTGGCACCGATCATATCATGTGACACGAAACAAGCAAAGATGTCAGAAGTGGTACTTTAGATGAACACCGAATGTCTCGACCCTCTGCAGTGACTTTTTTGAACCGAGGAATTTGTCACTCCGGGGAATATTTTCTGTTCTGTCTTGTTTGAATGCGGAAGAAATTTGATGTGGGTGTTGGTCATTGCCATTGAGGCTTTTACTCAAGTGTTTGCTCCCCTCTCCTGTATGAAGCTTGATAACTCCTGGACAGTTGCGCAATTTGCAGAGGGGGGACGGGGTTCCCTTTTCTTTGTTTGACTTTGGGCTTGAAATAAAGGACAGCTTAACTCTTCGGGAGTGCCCCATAAAAGACCAACCCCCCCCCCAAAAAATTTTTTAAAGCACAAAGATTGGGAACAAAATATAATAATGTAGTTGGTAAATCATTGCTACTCTGCACACAAAAGTAAATAAATACGTGCAGACGGCGTTTATTGTTCTATTGCGATCTATCAGTGGGATATCGTCATCGCCATCTGCGCTGAAAATTGTGGCAGTTTGATACAAGGGAGGGAGGTATATTTTATTGTGGGCTCCCCTCACTAAAAGCACAGTGTTTTCCTGTGTTGCTATATAAATAGCTTATCTAAACACTCGACTTGTCAAAGGACTGTTCCTGGCCAGCATTGGCCACAGGGAGTGTTATACTTCTCATGATTTATGAGTCTGCGCTGTTTGCTAAGTACGTTGTAAAGGTCAAGCGTTCATTTTCACTGCCAGGGAAACGTTTCAGATTAAACAAATGTAAAAGGAAGTGGAGAAAAGCCCATGGAAATGATGTCTTGAACTGGGCCAACAATCTAGTGCCTGTTGGTTGTTGGCGAGAATTAGGAAGGCACACACGTATGTCAAGATCTTGAATGTCTGTTGAAGGGGGTGACATAATCATCGGAACACATTTGTAAATCAACCCGAAGGTGATAGGATTTGTGAAACCGAATACTGAGGGCCATATGCTGTGAAAATTGTCTTTCAATGTACTCTGTTGCTGAACTTGAAAAATCACGTACGTGTATGGTCAGCCTCAGAAATTATGCATTGTAATTGATAGTTGTTTCAAATCTGATTATTGAAATCTGAGTGGAAGAAGGTGAACGATACCTGCACATATTTATCACGTGAGACTTTTAACTGAAAACTGAAAGTTGGTTCTGATACTCTTGTAGCAACCTCCAAAGGACATTTGCATTTTGGCTGAGATATTTTTCAAAATCATCTAAAGGTAGACTCCTCGTAATTGGTAAAAAAAAAAAAAAAGGACAGAAAACAAATAGCTTGGATGGACTCATCAGGTTCCAGAGCGATGGAAGAAAATCCTTTGTTGTTGTGTTGGTCAAATATTCCATATATTTGGTGACGGCCAACTTTCTGAAAAGTCGGGTTTGAATGGGAATATTACAAATCGAAAATTGCTTCCAGTTTAAATCGCTTCCCCCCCCAGAGCAGATTTGATTCTATGTGGAATATTTCTGTCAAAGGTTCAGTTGCCGTGAACAGTCACTGGAGTAGGCCTCTGCCGGAAGCCAAGCATTAATCTGGTCAATATGTATAGTACAATGCATCCATTTCACGTCGGCGAATGCATACCTGTTGAGCTTGTCACCTGTACTGTGAGTACAATGTACATGTAGATCACCAGTATCAGGTTGAATATAAGTAATCACTACACAAACTCGTTGGGAGGGGGGGTGGAGGGCATAGCGATGAGGAGAGAATGGAAAAAAAAAAGCCACGCAGTTTATAGGATGACAGAAATACCAGATCAATACAAAGCTGGGTTTGTTGAGTGCGAGGGGAAGCCATCAGTTGTTGGAACAGCCAACTTTAGGTCAATTACTAGGGGCCATGGTTGGCTGTTGCCATTGAGAGCGCGTGGGCAAACAATTATCCCAACTGGCCCATTGTTGGTGGCACGTGTGCGGTTGCCCAGTCTCGTGCCATACCTACTTACTTATGCAAAGCTGACACAGAGAGAGAGTGAGTTTCTGTGGGTTTCTCTTTCTTTCTCTCTCTCTTTTTTTTCTCCCCCTTGTTGGGTCGCATAGGTAATAAGCCCCGACGACTGTTATGTGTGTCTTGGACGGGGAGGGGAGCCTTGTTGTTATTATATGGAGTAGTAAGACCATTCAGGGGGCCCATCCAGATCCAGATCGTAGTGTGACTCCCATGGCATACAGAGTTTGGTGAATAGGACCCATAAGGGCTTTGTTTGGCCAGCACCCAATGCTCACTAACAGGTACACATGTGCATGGGCCTCACTGACACTTCTCCCCAACAACTGGGGCCTCAAATTCATTACTACGGGTAGCAACTAGTCAGCTCAGTAACAAGTGGTCCGTCCCATCTCACTTTTAAGTCAACTCGGCTGTCTTTCAGAGAGAATTATTAGTGTTAGTTCCTCCCCCCCCTCTCTTTTTCTTGTGGAGTCGATGTTATCCTCGGGAAAACTAGAAGCACTCTGAGGAGAATTTTCTCTGAAGCGCTCTCGTTGACTGTACCCCCTCGGGTACGCCGACCAAGGTGCAGTGACACTTCAACATTCCTGGAAGCTGTTCTTTGTTCATCCGGTTGCGTGTGGGTTTTTTTTTTTTTTTTTTTTCTCCCCCATCCTGAAGGAAAAAAAGGAGCTCTTGGGGGACCGTAAACTCTTTTTTTCTTCCAACCTTTTTGGGGAAGGGAAAGAGACTCGGGAAATTGAACAGGGAGCCAGAACTGGCGGCCAAGCTCGTTGGCCTCGGCGCTCTGGGAGCATGGAAGGTGTGTTCTGCCTGGAGACCGATTTTGAGCCGGGAGCTTTTGATCAGTACCTGTACAAGGTAAGACCTGTTTTTTAAGAATGACGATGCTGATAAAGAAGGGGGGGGGATTTGTGGACTCCTACCCGTTGGATTTACGTGGACTGCCAGGGAATTTTATTACTAATTTGTGTGTGTTTGCATGTGTTACTAGGCTGGTGCCGATTAGCAAAGTGCTTCAGTCTGGCTTTAATTTATTGATGTGGCCCATGGCGGGATATAATGTGCTAACCATACATTCGATAATGTGACTGGATGATTCCAAGTTTACAGCATCGCATATTGGACGTCATCCATATATTTAGATCTCCCGTGTTGAAACTGCGGAAGCCATTGGAAAAATAGTAATATTGACTAATGGCAGCTTTTAATAGTTCGTGAATAATGTCACTGTAATATGAAGCATGTGCGGGTAATATCCCACTGATGGAAGACTTTAATTATTCATGGGAGTAAGCCTGTGCATCACGTAAGCCCAGAAAAAAAAAAAGGGTCAAGGAAATGTTTCCAATCTGTTCCCGCGTCAAGAAGAATCTTTCACATGATTTGCAGAGAATGTATTTCGAATGTGATTGATCAAAGCCTAATTCCAGTGGTATCAGGAGTGCTGGACGCTGTGCGCAGTATCGTCTTCAAATCCAGCAGCTGGCTGGTATTTGGACCTGTCAAGATTTATGTTGTAATGTTCACACGTACTCCAAAATTATAAGTCGTCCGTGGTGTTCACTTGTGCGCCTGACGATTTGTGGCGGGCAGGTGCGAGCGCTAAAAGGGGAGAGCACAAAAAGTGACGAAGATCAATCGTAGCAGAAATGTTTGTTTTTCTCCAGTTGTTTTGCTGCGGTGCAAGGAGGTTGTTTCTGTTTGTGAATTATAGATCGAAACATATTCCTTCAAAGATCTTGTGTCATAAAATCATTTTGATTGAAAATAATATTTGCTTTTGGTGAATACTTTGAAAACAATTTTACATGGTCAAGTAGGAATGATTTTTTGTGTTGAGAGAAGATCAGTTGAGTGGTAGTGTAATTATTTTTAAAAAAAACTATTCGTGCGAGTGTGTTTCAAGATTGTAAGCATATTCAAAACCTGGGTAACCTTCAAAGTGGAAAGACCAAAGCTATGAAATTTCTAATTAGATTTTGTTAAAACAACACGTTGACATTGTCATAAACATTGCATGTCCTCAGTAAAGACAAATACAAATGGAATGGTTAGTTCAAGGCTGGTGGGGTTCATTTGAATTAATTGCTTTGTGAAATATCAACAGCAACCTCCGCAGTGGTACATAAATTTGTTACTGAAGAGAATGGTAAGTGTTTCAGAAAGGCTTTTAATTGAAGTTGTGATCAAAACTTCAATTCACCTACTTGAATGGAGAGAGATATTCCCTCCAAGGTGTTTTTGAAAAGCAGGAGAGGTGTTTTTGAAAAGCAGGATCCTTTAATATTTCAGCCACAATTTGTTTGAACCATAAGTGTGGCTACAACGGGCCATTCTTTTTACACAGTCCCTGATAACTTTGTACACACGCACACTACAGTATCGCCCTAGAAAAGAAAACCTCGGGGCCCTTTGCCAAATTTCTGTAGTGTACATAACAGTATTAAAGTGATCAGGCATTAGATTGCATTGACATTTGAATATGGCTTTTAAATGTCATCGTGCATGGATTGTGGATGGGACAAACGAAGATGGATCAGAGAGGGAGACTGTTGACAACTGTGTGTGGATTTTTGTTTTTTATCGGGGCTCGGTTGTGTGCATAGACGTCAGAACATGAAAGCTGAGGTTTTAAAAAGATAAAGTTGGATGTGAGCAAAAAATGCATTTTGTGTATTAAGCATTAGAAGAAGGAGCTTTTCCGGTGCTTGTTCAATAGAAAATCTCCCTTTTTTCTTTATGATTTTTGGATAGCAGCCATTTTGCCGCGCCGGCAGGAAATCAGATTTAAGCGGAGGATGCACATGAACTAGAATGTGGAAACAAAGAGCTGACATTACCTCTGAAATCATGAAAAGCAAGCTGCAAATTTTATACCCTTTTTCTTTTTACTCAACTGATCCAAATGAGTGCGGATTGAAGAGTGTCGGAAATGAGACTCCTCATCAGGCCCAAGTGAAATACTCACTGTCTCAATCTTAAACCTTCCGAGTCCCTTGAAAGCCATCGGCAGATTTTTTTAAAGAAGACTTTGCTGGTATGCTACTACTTTGGTGTACTTAACTGCCGGTGTTACTTTACCAGGGACTCGGTGCCCTCAGAAAAATTGTTAACTAAAGTAGGAAACAGGTGTTGGGTACCAGCAGCAGCACTTGGGAAGATACCGAGCAGATATACATGCACAGAGGGAATCATTTGTCATGTTGATGTACTGCTGAAGTTAGAAAAGGATGCTTCCACATGTACCGGTAAATACCGGGCCCACCGTTGCTCCAATGATGCTTTCACGGACGTTGTACATCGTGGCAGCCAGCTGCCTACCATTCTCCTCCATCGATTGGGACAGAGTGGGATTTGTTTGACAATCACTTCATGCACTGTTTAATCCCCCTCCTGACCTATCCGTGGTTGCCCAGTTATCCAGATAATCCATTGATCTGTTGCTAAATCATGTTTCTTTTTATTGACTGACATCACCAGCCATATTTGTAAGGTCAATCTCCTCTGGGGGGTAACTGACTTAGTAATCAGGAAATGTTACTTCAACAACTTTACTGGCCAAGGAGTCGTTTGCATGGATTCAGGACAGGTGTATGTAATGCTCATGACATTTACACATTTAAATTGATGAGCCAGCCAGAGTTTTTGTTCGTCCGAAAACTTTGTGCACATGGATATTCTTGTTCGTGCTTTGGTGCATTTGGTTTGATGCTCACCAGCCACATGAGACTCAGCTGATAGACAGCCGCTGAGCCAGAAGTAATAACTAGGGAATTTCCTTATCTCTTGAAATTGAAATTTCCCGTGAACTTTTATATTCTGTGTTTAAAGCTGCTGTGTGTATTGAGCCTCCGATCAAGGATTTTGTAATATTTGATCAGAGCGTTTTTCGTCCTGTGTTGATAATTTAGTTTCAGTTCTGATTTCAAAGAGGGCCATTTTGATTGATGATTTTACTATAGGCCAAGCCCCCCCTCCCTATTCTGTTTCCTATCAGACTGAAAACAGTTAAGGTGGGTAGTTTGATAAAACCTCTTCTCTTCAGAATTTTTCAAGCCAGAAATGTGTGGTTGGGATGATGTTGTGTTACCAAGACATGGAGTCACAGTTAAATAATAAAATGAAGAGGTTTTGTATGATTTTTGTAGATTGGGTAAGATAACCAGAAACACTATTTTGTTCTGTTTGGCCTCCTGTGGGAGTAATGGGCGATCTTTTGAAACACAGCCTCCTTTTGGTTTCATTTCTTCTGTCTTTCATTCTCATTTTCCCTGATGGACTCAACTCTCTGTCCAAGGGATAATTGACAGGATCTGCAGAAGGCATTGTTATACTTGGGTTTGTTCCTGTGAAATCTTCCCGACAGTCTCCAGAATAGAGTCTGTAAGATCTGTCATTGCTAGCTCACTCGGCGAGTTCTGCTTCACAGGTCTCTCCCATTTTTGGCTGTATGAGTCCTTCCATCAGATGTTAACATTTATCATCCTCTTACCCAGAAGCATCTGGATGATCTCGTTGTTTGACGGAGACAGGACAGCAAAGGTGGCTGCCCTACCTGATCTGCGTATCCTACCTCGAGTTACCTGTAATGTTCAACACCTGTGATTTAGGTACAGCGTACCCTGATTGGAATTATTGCCCATGTTCTTAGGTAGTCAACAACTGCAACTATAATACTAATACGCACAACAATTATCAGCCTTGGAAGTAATGGTCATTCTTTGGATACTCCGTGCATTGTTCTTAATCCAAGTTCACAATACCAAGGTGCTGTGGCCATTCTACAGACTACAGTGTCACGTGCGTCTTTCTCCTTTGTCCGCGAAAGAGGACAGGAAGGTTTTGTTCTTTTCCTACAGGTGGAAATCATTTTGAGAGCCACTCAAAGCCAGCATTTTGGTTGTTGACATCTGATTCCATCGAAGCCACTTTCCAGTGTTTGAAACCAGTCTCTTTAAGTCAGTTGACTAATTGGTGTTCCACCTGTGTGTATACTCTAAAGGGAAGAAATATCTGCCAGGGAGCCTTGTTATTATTAGTCTCCGAGAAGAAGAGGGGGGGGGGAAATCTGCCGATGTTTTGTTCTGTTTGGTCCAGCTGCTGCTGAGTGCCTAATGCACTCTCAAGGCCAGGAGGCTCAGAAAGGATGAATTGATTGAGACAGACACAGAAAGGCTTTTTTTTCCCTCTCTCTCTCTCTCTCTCTGTCCTTCTCCTCGAGTCCCTGAGTTCCCTTTGCTTTGCAGGATGACGAGGAATCTGGAGAAGCTATTGGACCCGCTGATGATAGCATTGCCTCTGTGGCCATAAAAGAGCTCACTAATTATGAGAAGTCGTTACTTCTGTAACTCATCGAGTAACATTGGCTTATTTTCCGCATTTACAATTACACAGAGTAGAGCTTTCATGGAACTTGCCCGGCCCGACATTAGTATTGTTGTGTGTTTGTACACTTCTTGACAAAGGTGAAAGACCGAGGGCTGAAACGTGTGATTAAAAAAAAAAAAAAAGTCAATGGAGCTGCAGTGACAGTGTTCATTGTTTAATTTACCAGAGACCTTTGTTGTTGTGATCATTTGTACAAGATGCCCCACATGTTTAAAATTGTCCATAGGCACTTCAGTAATTTTGTTAATGTCGTATTTATAAAATTTTTCATTAGGTCTTGAAATACATTTAAATGCACTGAAAAATCTTGTCGAGGCTCTCTTTTCTTCACCGGAACAATGTAGTTCCTCGATGCATTCAAAATTGTTGACAAATTTAATCTGTTTCATTCAGTTTAGTTACTTTTTCAACAAAATGTATTGTCAGTAAACAAGTTCAAGTGGGGTTTCCAGAATCAAGCCGTGGCATAT